GAGTTGAGTGATGAACTCTTACAAAAATAACACATTTATATGATTAAAGTGCACAATAAGGGTTAATATAGGGTTTCTATTGGTCAGTGATGCACATTTATATATAATTACAGTATAGATGTGTTGAAGGGTTGTTTTATATGTGAGCAATATGTAATACAGCCATGTACAAACAGAGTTCTACATTATATCATCTGCATTACAGTGATTGGTATTACAAAACGAGCAATAACACATGGGTCCTTCTGAATATGCTGTTTTGATATTAAAATATACAATGTCAAGCTTAACTCACTGTATGTTATATTTGCCTTGCATTGCCGGATCTTTCTCTGTTAAGTCTTTGCTATTCCAGTCATTCTATACTCTCCTGTGCCTCCACTAGGCATAATGTGCCTGCAGCATTAACATCATTCTTGATGTGAAGAATGTGGAAATAACCAAGCTATTTTCTATTTTCATATCGGCAGTGAAATTAAATTATATTTTTATTATGTATTGGTAGTGAGTTGTTACAGACCCCCCTCAGCTGTCAAAGACTCCTTGTCTTCACTAGCAAATCTTTTATCTCAACTAGACTACAAGGAAATAGTGCTACTTGGAGATTTTAACTGGGACTGGTTAACTGCAGTGTCAGAGGATTTTAAAAACCTTTGTATCTCTTTAAATGCTACTCAGATTGTGGACTGTCCTACTCACCCTAACATTAAGTCCCCTAATAAATCCTCCCTAATTGATCTCATTTTAGATCCTAAGAAACCGGCTGGCCCGGACAACGTAGAACCTTTCTTTTTAAAGATAGCTGCAGATTTTATTGCTCCACCTCTCACTACTCTTTTTAACCTCTCCCTCAGCTCAAACACAATTCCAAAATTGTGGAAGTCAGCGTATGTCCTGCCTTTGCTAAAAGGAGGGGAGGCCACCTTATTAAATAACTATAGGCCAATCTCTAAGTTGTCAGTTCTGGCTAAGGTTCTTGAACGCTTAGTGAGTGAACAGGTAAAGGTGTTTTTATGTACAAATGACATCCTGTCTAAACATCAGTCAGGCTTCAGAAAGCAACATAGCACCATCACTGCCACAATGAAAGTGGTGAATGATGTGGCGAGTATTTGAGATAATAAGCAGAGTTGTGCAGCTCTATTTATTGACCTTTCAAAAGCATTTGACACCGTCGATCATCACATTTTAAAGCAGAGGCTAGCCAGTATAGGCATGTCCAGCCATGCAGTGGGGTGGTTTGTAAACTACCTCTCTGAAAGGTCCCAATGTGTTCATTGTCTTCTGAGTGGTTGAACATTGCAAATGGTGTTCCCCAAGGTTCTGTTTTAGGTCCACTTTTATTCTCCATCTACATCAACAGTTTAGGTGAAAATGTGGATGAAGCTACTTTACATTTGTATGCGGATGATACCGTGATGTACTGTGCAGGTCCCTCCATTAAGGAGGCTGGTGTTAAATTACAGGCTGTTTTTAACACTATTCAGACTCAGCTCTCTGAACTAAAGCTTCTTTTAAATGTTGAGAAAACCAAGGTAATGCTCTTTTCTAAAGCTAAAAAGACACCAGAGCCTCTTTTAGATATTGTAACTACGCAAGGAATAAAACTTGAAGTGGTTACCTGTTACAAATACCTTGGTATCTGGCTTGATGATTGTCTCACTTTTAAACTTCATGTCAATAACCTGCTTAAAAAGCTGAGGGTTAGGCTGTTCCTTCTTCTACAGGAACAAGTCCTGTTTCTCGCTTGAGGCCAGGAAAAGGCTAGTCACTGTGACCTTTTTACCTGTGCTGGACTATGGTGATTTGATGTATATGAATGCACCTGCCAATTGCCTGGTCAAGTTAGATGCTGCGTATCACAGCGCACTGAGATGTGTGACAAACTGTAAAGCATCAACCCATCACTGTACCCTGTATGCAAGGGCTGGTTTGCTTTCACTAACTGTACGGAGGCTCAGTCACTGGTACATTTTTATATACAAAGCCATGTTAGGGAAACTTCCATCCTACATCTGCTCCCTGATCTCACGGAAAATTGTAAGTGGCTACTGCCTGAGATCGAATGCTGTGGTTTTATTAAATGTGCCAACTGCTAGGACTGTCTTAGGGAAGACAGCTTTTAGATGCGCAGCTCCTCTGTCTTGGAATAGTCTGCAAATTAAATGGAAACTGAACAATCTGGTGCCACTAAATGTTTTTAAAGCTCGGTTGGATGCTAGTCAATCGGAAGCTATTGGTACCTGTTTATGTGGATAATTATGTAAATGATGCTGTATGATGTCCTTTTGTTGTTCTATTTATGTTTTTATGTTTCATGTGGAACTACTTGAGCAGGTCTCCCTTGAAAAAGAGATAAATTATCTCAATGGGATTTATCTGTATAAATAAAGGTTTGAAATTAAATGAAATTATATGTCCCAAGTCGAAGCAATTCCTGGTCATTTGAGCCAGTTATTTAGGTTTTTATAGTAGCTTGGTACCCTCAGTGTAAACAGAGCCATAGAAGGCAGTGAGGTGAGTCTTCAGCATCTCTCATCCCTTCTCACCAGGAGGGAACAAATCGACCAAGGAGGTTAAATGAGGGGAGAACTGTCACTGTTTTGTGTGCAAGTTCTCCATCAATTCTCTGTGAAATAATATGTGTATCTGTTAACACCTAACGATTGTTCTGGCCATGAATGGATACAGTTTAGCGCCTGTAGGACAAATCATTTCAAATCACATCAGGGCGCTGTAACGTCTGACAGCCTGCAAACAACTCTCAGCCACTCACGGTTCCAGTGTGTGGCTCACAGGGATGGTACATTTCAAAAAGACTCAGGAATTGGACGATTTCATTTCTATCTTTGCTTTGCAGGTCTATATTTCAGTGACATCTCCTGGCATACATTCATCCGTTTTTCAGCAAACAAGCCTCTGCTAGCTTCTCTATTGTACTTTCTTTCAAATATTAACGTTTCTCTTTTCCCATTTCTCTCCTGCTCTCTCATCAATATGTATTGACTCTTTTACTGCTTTTCAAAGCCTACAGTATGTGTGTCTGCTATTATGCAAAGGTTAAGTAGAAATAGAGGTTAAATGAAAAGAAACATTGGGGGAACCCTAGCAGGAAATTGAAAACACCAGACCAACCAACCAAGCCCTCCAACGCTTCTGGGTGAGTTTGATAATTTTTCCTATCAGTTCTACCTACTGACTAAACCATGTTCATTTTTGTTGTCTCATAATGACATTTTCTGTGTTGTGAAGTTACTCAGTGGACACAGTTACAAACAAAGAAATTGAACATTTATAGATTTGATGAATACAAGGTATGCATTCAGCCTCACACAGACAACTATACAATATAGTGTGAGGATTGTTTGTTCCTACTTTTTTCTCCTGATGACTTTCTCTCCAACCTTTGTCACTGTTTGGCTGTTTATAACTCAGTTTCAATCAGGAGAGATGGTTTTGATGTAAGAATACATATTTATTGCCAGGAATACACAAATGAATGTAACGGAGTCTAGACACTGGTGGTGGTGAATAGATGGTTGGGTTCGGTCTGAAGAGGAGTGGCTTGGCTTGACCCTGGATTCAGAGGGACAGGAGGTGAAAAGGGGTGGAGGAGGGTTGCGTCGAGTCACCTGAAATGACGCTGTCGGAGGGGAGAGCAGATTTAAAAGGTTTAGCGGAGCGCTATGATAGGCTTGTGAGAATAGAGCGAAGTGATTGATTAAGCTGGTGACGCCCCCGATCACTTATTTATTGAGAGGAGAGAGAGTAGTAACATGGAAATAGTAAATAAATGAGTAAAGAAGGTCTTCCTGGTTGAACTTGCGCTGAGCTTCATTACTTTATAGGAATGTAACGATACCAAAAACTCACGGTACGATAATATTGCGATAAAAAGTCCACGGTACGATATTTATCGCGATATTGAAAAATAAAGGGAAAACAATGTGAATTATTTTTTTCTTTGATTTTTTTTTTCTTTATTAAATAATAAATCTGATTTGTACAGCATTTTGGTAGGATAGTAGTATTTTAAAGTGTCAACAATATAATAATCAGACCCGGCAATAGAATAAATCAAGTTTCACTTTAGTTTTTCAAGTGACTCAACTCTAAAGGCCCTGACACACCAAGCAGTCACCAGAGGACTCGCCGACGTCGGCTGTTGCGTCGCGGTGTTCTCCTGCGTCTTGGCCATGTGTCGCACGGGAACACACCGCAAAGACTTCAGTGCGTGAGTGGCAATAACTCTCCTTACCAGCAGGCGGCGGTAGTGTGTATTCGTCATTAAAAATAGGCAACAACCGGAAGACAGAGAAGAAGAACAGACTGCGTGATATAAACAACAACAAATAGCGTGTGCAAACTGCAGCCTGGTTATGATCCACTGCTGTCTGCCCGTCTTTGGTGCTCCACAACTACCCGAAGGGGCAAGTCTCCTGTACCGGGTGTACTGGGTTCGCAGAGAATCCCACTTCTTCCTCAGCTCTCTCTGAAGCACACAAATAAACGATGTAAGCATTGTGGCTAGTTAGCATGTCCAATTCATGTCTATATGCAGTGCCAAACTGCACAGCTAGCAACAGCTAGCAACAAGATAACAACAAAACACAAGGTTGAAATAACAAATTACATTTCACGTTAACGTTACTGTACGCTGGCAAACAATAAAAAGCCAACAATATCTGCTAAAGAGCTCAATTGATGAAAAAGATAATCTTACCCGAGAAACCAAGTTGCGTTTCAATCTCTCGCCAGAGTCCGGTTTTCACTACTCGGTTCGAGTACCTTTTCTCTGTGATGTCGTACAGAGCTGGCCTCTCCTGGAACAATGTGATGAGCAGGTCTTCGTTTGCGTCATTCCAGATCGCCATGATGAGATGAAAATGAATATCAGTCTGTGTGTGCCTTCTTAAATCGTTTGTTTACGTCCCTCACTTCCGTTTCGCTTCTCATGCACTGATTCGCTAGCTGAACAGCCAATCAGAGTGATTGTTTGGTCCGACTACCAGACCCGATGCATGGCCGATTCAACGGCCCAATCCCAAACCACTCCCTCGACCCTACCCCTCCGTGACGGAGTGAACTCCGTCTGTAGGCACACTCACAGCTGAATGAAGTTCTCTCCATTAAGGGTTAAGGGTATAAATACAGCGGCAAGCTTTGGGACGGCCTTCCCTCTCTCCGCAGGAAACGGAAACGGACGTCATGGTGTCCAACTCACATCTCCATCTGTCGGCTGCATTGACCTGCGTTGCTATCCGTCGCCTGTTAGCGGGTGCAAGCAAGATCCAACAGAAGGCGCAGAAGGTTTAGGCGCATTTTAGCGATGTGCCAGTGGCAGGTAAACATTTCAATATTGCTAATACAACAATTATCTTCACTTTATTTCTTATATAGTAGCCTATGAACTTTGTATGTGTAATACAAATAGATATTTAGATATATTGTGATATACATTCATTTATTCTTTCCTTATAAGCTATACGTGTATATCTGTATAGTGGTCTGTAGAATTCCAACACAGAGAAATGTTGTCAGTAGTTTATAGAATAAAAAAGGAAAGGTTAATTTGACTTGGTCTCAGAATTGTGTGTGTGTGTGTGTGTGGTGTGTGTGTGTGTGTGTGTGTGTGTGTGTGTGTGTGTGTGTGTGTGTGTGTGTGTGTGTGTGTGTGTGTGTGTGTGTGTGTGTGTGTGTGTGTGTGTGTGTGGTGTGTGTGTGTGTGTGTGTGTGTGTGTGTGGTTATTGAAATTGAACAATACTGTGTCCTGTGTTTGTCTTTTACAGGGGGGCAAAGGTCTTTACATGCAGCTCAATGCCACTGCCCCAATTCTCGCCGTGTATGCCAACCCTGAAGCCTGTCTAAAGAAGGACTTTAGAGTTCAGCGATCTAGTGTGGTGTATTTAGTGCAGATGCTTTCCTCCCCAAAGGACCACGGATGGGGACAAGACATCGAGGTGCTTGTTCTCCTCTACAGCTTGGCCCATGGACTATCACTCTCTGTGGTGGGTTCAGCATTCGGGATTCCCAAATCGACGGTCCACAGGATCATCAAACACGTCACCGGGAAGATAAAGGCCAACCTGAAGACCCTCATTTCCCTGCCAACCCCAGATGAGCTGCCAGAGATTGCAGATGGCTTCTGTCAGCTTGCAAATAGTCCTGCATTTCACCATGCTGCTGGTGCGATTGATGGATGCCATATTCGCATCAAACCTCCAGGAAACGAGTACCACAAGGAGTACATCAATTACAAGCTGTTTCCTTCCATCCAGATGCAGGCCATCTGTGACTCAACTGGGAGATTCCTGGATGTCTTCATCGGCTATCCAGGCTCCGTTCATGATGCCAGAGTACTGCGAAACAGCCCCATCTTCTGCCAGGCACTGTTTCCCCCAGCTGGTTGGTTCCTCCTTGGGGACGGTGGTTATCCCTGCCTGGAAAAACCAGTGGGATTACTCACACCCTACAAGGTCCCTCGCGGCCAGGTGCAGGCCAGATTCAACAGGCATCATGCCAGGGCTCGGTCTGTGGTGGAAAGAGCATTTGGAAGGATGAAGGCTCGCTGGAGGGCCACCCTTTTCAAAGCGCTGGAGGTCAGTCCAAGCTTTGCCCCTGACATCATTGCATGTTGTGCATTTCTGCACAATCTGTGCATAGACATGAACGATGTCCTTGAGGATGCTGAAGCCTTCCCCCCTGAAGATGCGGACCAGAGTCCTCCCCCTGCTGCAGCATGTGGACAGAAAAGTCCTGGACACCACCTAAGGAACAGGATTGCTGCACAACTCTCTGCTCCTGTCCAAATGGCACCACGCCTGAGAGAACACGATTACATCTAATGAACTTTGTTTTTTTTTGGAAAAACGTGGTTGTCTGTTAACTTGTGTTTTTGAAATGATGTGCACACATACCTGATTTAATTTTGTTTGTTTTAGTGAGCTCCACTTCTCACTTTAGAGAAAAGAGGTGAAATAAAATAAACCTGTGCACCGTTGATTTCAAACTTGGTTTTCCTGAATTGTCTTTCTGCATAATCCCAAATTGGAGACAAATGTCCTTACCTCTTGGATCATTCAATCACGAGCACAGAGCAAAGGTTCAGAAAATGAACACAGGTCTTCTAATACAATCACTTTAGTTTTTGAGTGAAACTCTGCAAATGGTTTGACATGAGCAATTAAGACCGTAAATGTCATGTATATTTTAATGCCTTATACCTATGAAGCGCACAGACATATCTTTATTTAAAATGCTGATATTCAGGGTTAATCTTCAGACTTTGGAAAAAACACTTTAGTTCCGTGCACAACATTACTTTGTGCAAAACGTTTCCTTCTACATTATGAAACCCACACAGAACAATGTAGCCATCTAACAATCAAGCAAACGCAATGTCACCTTCATCACCCGTCTACCTGTATTTACTATATCCCATACAATATTGAAGACATGAAGGACAGTACGTTAAATTAGGTTTATTGTCTTCCAAATAAATAATACAAGCGAACAAAAACAAGTCTTTTAAGTAACATCAATAATCAAACATAGAAATGGCCAATGGTGGGGGGGAAAAAATAAATCACATTTTGTCGACCATTTTTTCGAACAGGGTTAGAAATGTATCTGAGTGCTGCATTATTTCTCTGTGGCGTTCGTCCTCTTTTTCTGCCTCGCGTTCTAGGCACTCCAGCACTCCCATAGCACCTTTTCTTTTTTAGGGGGGGGGGGCTGCTGGGTGGTTCCAGCCTCAGACAGTGATGAGGGTGGTGAGGGGTCTGGATCATCAGCCACATTTGGGGGGGGGGGGGGAAGGAAGAGGAGCAGGAAGCAGCCTCCGGATCAAAGAGGATTGTGGGGTTTTCCAAGGCTGAGGCAACAAGGACAGGAGGACTAATTGAAGGCCTTGCACCTATCCATGGCCATGAAGAAGGGCCATGTTGCAGGGGTTTCTTCCCCCTGTTCCAGTCCTTGGCCTTTTAAGTTCCTATTGCAAACAAATGCATGTTAGAAATCTTTGTTCAGCTTTTTCAAAAACAAACATGTTTTACAATAACAATACACCATTTACCTTGTATTTCTTTTTTAGGTTCTCCTATTTCTTGGAGGCCTGTTTGTGAGACACATGTTGCCCAAGGTCCAGTTCCTTAATGATTGACCTGTTATCATAGAATATTTAAACAATATATATTGGTGTTAAGGCAATGACCCACAGTACACATTCATTACTTTCATTGCACAAAATATGAATTGAGTGCATAACTCACTCCCATGCTTCTTTGGCAGCATTGCGTTTTTTGCAGAACAGGTCGTCCTTTTCCATTCTTAAAGCAATAAGTGCCTTGGTTTTTACCACAGTCCCTGAAATTACAAATCACACTTAAGTTTAAACCGATTTCGTAAGTGAATGGATACATGAATTGACACATGTGTTATTAGTTTGATTCCGATTTAGATTTGTACATCTTCAAAATACAAATCTAATGTAATCTTGGCAAATCAAATTAACACGTGTAGATTTATAAATACATGTTCACAAAGGCATGTTTTAGTTAAGGCAACGTATTATTTATCGTTTTAAAAAATAACCACATGGAACTCACATTTGTATGACGCCATGGACCAGCCCTCAATATGGCGGACCCTTCGCGTGAACGCGCAAACGGAGGGGTAGGGTGTAGGGGGCGGTTTGGGAATGGGCCAACATGTTGAATCGGCCATGCATCGGGACAGGCAGTCAAAATAAGGCGTGTCACGGTCGACGGTGCGGGACACACCAAATTGAGTTTGGGCGACAGGACACGCTTCGTCTCCCGACTTACGAAAACAGCCGAAATCGGCCTGGTGTGTCAGGGCCTTAACTCACTAACTCAGCATCATCAAGATTATCTTTTAGGAATATGAGCATGTCCACATTTCCAGGTAGAAGCTGGGATGTTTGGGCATTTACAATATCCCCTGCTGTGGAAAAAACTCTTGCTTGGTACTGATGTTGCTGGGACAGAGAGATATGCTTTGGCCATGGGTAACAGCAGTGGGTAAAACTGTGCATTGTCTCTCCACCACTTCAAAAACAATACAGTTTTTGCCAAGAAGGTGAGGCTTATTGACAGGGCGAGATATAAATATACTGCTGGTACTTGTCAATGTCTCTAGGTATGTACATGTAGCCCTGTAAATACGATGTCCTTTTGTGTTATCTGTTGTTTTAGGTTTATGTTGCAACCTACTTGCAGCCATGTTGGATAGGTCTCCCTTGAAAAAGAGCTCAATGATCTCAATGGGACCATCTGGTTGAATAAAGGTTTGAAAAAAAATTATTAAAAAGAAAAAAAAATCGCGGTAGATTTTGTCAGTCTCACGACGGTATTGAGACATTTATTTACCGCAATATTCGATATATCGTTACATCCCTATTACTTTAATAATTGTTTTTGCCTCTAAGCATTATAATACCCTCTGTGTGAGATTTTCTTTCCGGGATGACACATATTTTGAAGCTGTGTGTTTCCATGCCACTTTAAACTGGAGCCATTTCAAAGTATTTAAACTGCAGTGACTCTTTTATTGTTGTGATAATGTCTGTTATTTATTGAAAAATACGTCTTTTATTTTTAAACTTGAGTTGAAGTGATTTTCTGGAGTTTATGTTGGAAAAGGTCAGAGAAACAATCTCTTTCAGAGGAGGGATGATCCCCCGCTGGATGTTTTTGATGAGGTTCTCCCGTAATATTTGTCCTCCCAGTACTTGTTTTTGTTTTGGCAACATACCCCCACAGCGTAATCCCTGTCTATCACATTATTGTAGATTATTGTAGGATAAATCCCTGAGGTGATGCGGCATCAACTGTCCCTGCATCTCAAAGAAACCTCAAAAGCAGGTTTGCTGTGGAAAGAAACACAGCTGTCCTTCCAAAGGGCAATATTTAAATTGCTAATCTCTCATCTATTGATATTCTGAATGTTATTACATTTGTTACCGTCACCATTTGCTGGAGGCTCTCAGCAGGGTGCAGGAGTAATCCACTTCTTTGCTGCTGTGAATAAAACTCCACGGGTAGACGTTCAACTATTTCTGGAGGATTTCATTTAGAAGGGAATTGAAGTATAACAAGTTGCTAGGTATTTTCCAGCAGGTGAAATAAGGATTGTCAGAGTGAGTAACAGTGAGTTTCTGAGCTTACTCTGGGTTTGTCTTTATAAATAGTCTATAGCTGAATCACTGCTCAGTGTTTTCCTAGACTGCTGACATTTTTTGCTGACAGCTGGCCCATGTCCTCACAGACATCTTCAACACCTCGCTGGACCAGGCCATTGTTCCATCATGTTTTAAGACGGCAGCCATTGTACTTGTGCCAAATAAATCCTCAGTGACCTGCCTGAATGATTACCGGCCTGTGGCACTCACCCCCATCATGATGAAGTGTTTTGAGAGGCTGGTAAAGAACCATATAGTCTCCATACTTCCCCCCACACTTGACCCGTTCCAGTTTGCTTACCGCCCTAACCGCTCTACAGAGGACGCTATCTCCTCTGCGCTCCATGTGAGCCTGGCCCACCTGGAGGAGAAGAACACCCATGTGCGAATGCTGTTCCTGGATTTCAGCTCAGCGTTCAACACAATCATCCCCCAGCATCTGGTAAACAAACTGGGACCCCTGGGACTCAACACACCCCTGTGTAACTGGCTGCTGGATTTCCTAATAGAGAGACCCCAGTATGTTCGGGTCGGTAACAACACCTCCAGCACCATCACCTTAAACACCGGCTCCCCGCAGTGCTGCGTTCTGAGTCCACTGCTTTTCACCCTGATGACCCACGACTGCTGCTCCAGGTTCAGTACCAACCACATCAGAAAGTACGCGGACGATACAACAGTGGTGGGACTCATCAGGGACAACAACGAACAGGCCTACAGGGAGGAGGTGAAACATCTGACAGACTGGTGTAACACCAACAACCTGATCATGAATGTCGATAAAACAAAAGAGATCATTGTCGACTTCAGGAACAAAAAGCACTGTCACCCACCACTCCACATCAACGGCACAGCAGTGAAGACTACAGACAGCACCAAGTTCCTGGGGGTGCATATCACAAGCAGTCTGACCTGGTCCACTCACACGACATCACTATTTAAGAAGGCACAGCAGCGCTTACACTTCCTGCGCAGGTTGAGAAGAGCACAGCTTCCCCCTCCCATCCTCACCACGTTCTACAGAGGAACCATAGAGAGCGTGCTGACCAGCGGCATCTCCATCTGGTCGAGAGACTGCAACGCCAAAGACTGGAAGTCTCTGCAGAGAGTGGTCAGGACAGCAGAGAAGATCATCGGAGTTTCTCTCCCTCCCATCAGAGACACCGCTCAGAAACGCTCCCTGACAAAAGCCCAGAACATTTTGAAAGACCCCACTCATCCTCACCATGCTCTGTTCTCCCTGCTGCACTCCGGCAAGAGGTTCCGCAGCATTAAGAGCAAAACAGCCAGATTCTGCAATAGCTTTTTCCCCCAAGCCATCAGACTGCTGAACAGCAAGTAGACAAGTAACATAAAGATTACTTTACGCTGTGTAAAGAGCACATATTTTTTATATAGTATGTCTATTTTATTTATATGTATAGTAAGTCTTTATATTTTAAACACACACTTTATCTTTAATTTTATCAGCACCACGTCACTATTATTTATTTATATGTACAATTTTAGCAAGTTTTTATATTGTCCTGTTCCTGTAAGCCAGTACAACAACATTTCGTTTTAATAGTACACTCTGTGTCTTGTTGAAATGACAATAAAGTATGTCTATGTCTATTTTGAGTACACTTTAAATTAATGATATTACCTTTTGTGCTGCCTATTCAATGAAGCTTCAGCTTTCACCCTGAGACGTCCCTGAATGATATCTGTCAGAGCATGACATGGAGAGAGAATAAAATGTGTTTTGATTGAGCCGAATCGCAGCACTTTCTGTTGTCAGGGGCAATGTAAATAGCATAATACAATTG